TTGTGGGCCTCGACACAGAAGAACAAAAGCAAAGTTGGAGAAAATATTCAGCTGGTGCCCGAATCAGAGGGACTCCGTTATCGATCCCGGGGCCCCTTCATGTTATTATTTTGTTGGAGACAAATCTATGGGTTTGGAAGTTTTATAGTGTTTGAGGTAGGGTCTGTGTAAGTGATGGATTCATCTATTAGATGAATTAGATTTCACAGCATGAAGATTTCAGCAGAGCTGTAATATTATGAGCTGCTTGGTTATTGATAAAAATTACATTAAATGTAGCTGAGGCATTAAAGCTCCAGACTAGGGTAGTACTCCCTCTAAAATGTCCTTAGGGCCCTAATAAATTTTAGCAGGTTTAATTATTTTAGTAGTCTCAAAGTTGTCACCACAATTAAGCCAAACTGAAGTAATATTCAATATTTTAAAATTATAGCTCTGATGCAGCCTTTGTACCACACTTTCTTTCCCACCTGGTGCTACAGAGGGTGATATATGGGCTCTTGTGTGTGTTAGGACAAATTTGGTATGAAATCCTTTATTTGGGACATGGAAAAAGCTACATTTCTTTCATACCCTCCTCTTCTTGCTCAATGGGAGGAGGCTCAGCTGCATGTCCCTGTGTTTGTGAGCAGGTCCTGCACCTGGGGAGCATCCGGGACCCCAAGCAGTATGTCAGCTCACACCACCTGAAGATAAAGTCCTTTTTTTTACTGCACTTGGGCACACTGTCCATCTTCTTGCACAATTCAGCAGAAGTCCTTAACCTACCTCCCTGACAACATTCCCAGGTACATGGAACATGGACCCCCCTTCCAGTTCAAGTCTTTGCACAATCTGAGCGGCAGCAGGGAACTGGCTCAGAAGGAGGTTTTAGCCCATGTCAGCAGCAAGATTTATAGCTTTACCATCAAAATATGCTCATTTACTCTTGATATTTTTTAAAGAATTGGAAATTAACCTTGGACATTTTTTACAGTGTGTTATTATGGCCTTGTGGCTTTGCCACGTAACAAAATCTGCTTGTGGTAACTTGCGCACATGGATTGGAAATGGGGAGAAATCCCAAACCAGGAAAACACTTGGAAAAAAATAACTTCTTTGAAGAAGTAACAAACCAGGCATGAGATGGCACAGTGTGGAGTTGAGAATTTGCTGGTGCTCAGCTGGAGTTGTAACTCACTCGTTGCCATTGCCACCTCCAGATAAAGCAGCTAGTAGAAGCATTTTTAATTAAACCAAGATGAAGAGTGAGCACCTTGGTGTGTTCCCACTCAGTGCCATAGCCTGTGGGCTGAGATTGAGATTTTCAGTTTCAGCCACTGAAATCACCTAACAAAAAGAAAATAATCCCTCAAAATCCCTCAAATTTAGAAAGCTCTGGCCAGTAGTTCTCCAGCTACCTTGGGGTTCTTGTGCCCCAAACTCACCTGTGAGCATAGCTTGAGCTGTACTGAAATAACTATTCAATAGGATGAAAATAAATCAGTATACAGTACATAATTTAGTTGTCTATATAAACTTAAAATATCTAAATCTGTGAAAACTGCACTTTTTAGTGAGTTACTTTTTTCACAGCTGTCATTGCCGTCGAATTACGATGCAAATACCAAAACAGGGTGTGATTAGAGATGATGTGTTGCATTTATTATGGTGTATACCTCAACTATGATAATCACTTGTAATAATAAATAAATAAATAAACCCACATTAATGTACTTCACCCCATGATCGGTCTATTTTGTAACTTCTTGCATTGATTTTTTAGAATCTGTGACATTTGGGCTGTGAATGATACAAAGTAGAAGGCGGGAGGAGAAAAAGTTCTTTAAATTGGTTAGGTGTGAATTAAATCTCTCCTGTTGTAGGTTTTAAAAATTCACAACCCATTTTGGATTGACTTGCTGTTAAATAATAAATAGCACCGTGTTCTCATATGGAATTTTTCAGCAGGGCCTGGAGCAGGAGAAGGATCTGCTGAGGAAGCTCCCCCGTGAGTGTACTCGTCTCAGTGGCCTGTTCTTTTTCCAGAAATATAGAATCATAGAATGCCAGGTTGGAAGAGACCTCAAGAGTCATCTGGTCCAACCTTTATAGGTACTACTGTAGTAGCACTACTACACTATATGGCCTCTTCTAGTCCTGGGAGGGTGATTAACAATCATCCTGGACTCTGTGATCTCCTCGTGTGCATTTTGGTCTGTGAGGCCTCATCACCCACCCTGGGCACTGAGGTCCCAGCTGCCTGATGGGGCTGGCACAGGGCAGGAAAATTTTCTTTAGGGAAAAAAGTTTTCTTTATGGAAAAGTTTTTCTTTATGGAGCTTTGTATTTGGGATTTTAGAGATGGGACTTATCCTTTAAAGGCTTTACATCTCATTTGTGTGCTAAAGTTTCTGTCCGTGTTTACTTTTCCTTAGGTGCTGGGCCAGTTTCCTGAGCCCATGGTCGGGGCTGCTTGTGCACCTTAGCTCTGCCAGGAGCTGGCCCTGATGCCACCACTTCCCCATCCTCCTCAGGCACAGCCTGATGCCACCAGCATCATCTCTGACATGGACACTTCCCTCCCTGTCCCTGCCAGCCCAGTGGCAGTTTTTCGGTTCAGCGGTGGCTTCATGGCCACATTGCCCAGCTCCTCTCTGCTGGGCCTCAGCCTTCTCTCCCTTCCTCCTTCATTTTTGGTTGGGTCTTCTTATTTTCCAGATCCCAATCATCATCCCCTGCCACAGGGTGATCCGCAGCAGCGGGCAGACGGGCAACTACGGAGGAGGAAACCTGATGAAAGAGTGGCTGTTGTCACACGAGAGGCTGCAGAAGGAGAAGTGGGCAAATTGATGGGGCCCAGCCCAGCTTCAACTTAACAAGCCTCTCAGGGCACCCAGCAGAACTCAGCAACATGGTAAATATCTGAGTGACATATAAATATCATGCAACGTCCCAAGTGGAATGTGAGGTGGCACCGCTGTGTTAAAAAAGTGGGATGTGTCCTGAGGGATGCAGCTCACCTGCCCTTGCTTCTCTCTGCATTTTACAGCAGAGTGAGTACAGCAGGCCAGTTGTGCACTGATTTTTGTTCCCATCTCTTCTCCTGTTTTATTCTACTTTAAATGTTCATTAAAGCACAGGTAAGGCAAACAGGAGGTGCTGCCTCCCCCTAAGGAAGAACCTCCTTGGTGCCTGGAATGGGGTTTTATGGCAACAAGGAGGTGTGCAAGTGGCTGTTGAATTGCTTCTTCCCAGCTTTTCTTTGCAGATTGCAGGAGGTGGGAATAAATGTTTTGCTTTTGTGAATGGTGGAAGCAAAGCAGTTGACAAATTCTGTGTGGGAAGCATCTTTTAAATAAGCAGTTTGATTAGCACAACTGGGGCAGAATGTTGGAAAGCTCATCGTCGTTGCATCTTTATCAGCAGCACATTTCCTTTTATAATTTCATTTTTTTGCCTTCAGATTCTTGCATTTCTCTGGTATGTGAAGCTTTCTTTCCTGTAGCCTCTCAGTGGAAAATATTCAAGTATTCAAGATACATTAAACCTTAAGTTTGAGGTGGTTTAAGCAGGGTTCTCTGCAAGTACCAGCTACCAGAAGCTGAAATTTTCAGTATGGGAATCATAAATTCTAATGTGGAAATACTGATTATTTTTTTAATGTCTTTTATCATGTTTTCAGAGATGTTTCTTTAGAAAGGCCATTGCCAACCAAGAAATTATTTTGTTACAATGGGTTAGTTAATATAGTATTATTGATACCTTAGAATTACTTGAATAAAAAGAACTACTTTGCATGTCCAAGTGTCTCTGTGTATGTTTATAAATAAAACACAGTGCATGATAGATGGAGAAAATAAACTATACCCAACTGTACCATATAAAGCTGTATTTTTATCAAGGGTTTCTAGTGCCAATATAAACCACGAAAGCAAAGCTCAGGTGGTTTGGACGTGTCACCAGAACCCCAAGATAAAAATATAGCCTTATAATATGTACAGTTTGGGTGTATTTTATATATATATGTTTTATAATGCATTGCTACCAATGGTTGCAATAGCAAACTTTAACCTTTCTCACGTTTACATCTCGTGCTGGTTTTAAGGTGGTTGTCTTTATTTCTGCAGGGAGGATGGAGAGGGGTTGGGTAGAGGGCTGGAGGGTGTCCTTTTTGGTGTTTTTTTTTGCCTGGAATTGGGTTCTTCCAACCTCTTGAGTTTCCTCCCCCCTCAGCTTCGCCGTGCTTTGAACTGCTGACATTGAGACACTGTGCAGCCAGGCACGACAGCTGGCCCTGCAAGCATCTAATACCAACACATGCTGGTTTAGCCCATTTCCAGAGCAAGGAAGATAATGAAAGATTCAAAAAAATAATATTTGTTTTGGCGGAGCTACATTTATAATGAAATAGATGCCCTTGACCATGGAAGAAACTGAATTTTGCAGCGGGTTATTCTTCCTTCCCTCCTCCCTTTCCCCCCCCACTCCCTCTAAGGCCAACAGAAATATTTTTGAAGGACTGTGTTGTATTTCCTGCTACAGCAGCACTGCAGCTACACTGGCTGTACTGTTTTACACCAGAATGAAAAATGCAGACTACATCCTATGTATCAATACCAAATGGAAAAGAGCCCCAGGGCCTGAGGATTGTTACAGATCACTTTCATGAGCTCATCCTGGAAGCATCTTAAAACAGAAAACCAATTCATTGTAGGGACATTTTCAGATCTGTGCCCAAATTTTCTTCCCTCATGCTGCCTGGTTTGTTTGGAAATAGAGGAAATTAGTCATCTGATCAGGGCAAGAAAGATTTGGCCCATTTAGTTCCCATATAGTTCCCATTTAATTTCCCTAAGCCGTTCTCAAGCTTTGTCAGTGGTACTTGATGTGGTGTAGCAGCTGAGTAAGGAACATTGACACAGTTGATAGGACAGTGCTGTCACCCTACAAACAATACTAAGTTATTGACTAGGAGCAGTAATTTCAAACTGCTGTTTCTGGTAACATCACGGGTCATTATTCCTTGTAGAAATCTCACAGCTTGTTACATTGAATTATTTTTCCCAATGTTTCACCAGATTTCAAGATCATCATCTTTATGGTAAGTATTGCACCCTGGTCAAAAGAGATAGACTTGGTATTAAAATGTTTATTTATGGTGAAAGGTGGTGCTGAAGACCTGCTTCATGAAAGAAAATGCAAGAAAAGAATAAGAAATACAGAAGGATTGCTTAAAAACTTAAAGCACGGTAATCCAAGGGGAGCACTGTAAGATTTATGTGCTATTTCAAGAGTAATTTCTCAGTAAGAATCTTACAGGAAAGTGAAAATCCTCCAAGAATTGCATTTACAGATTTAATTGTAATTCCTTTTATATTCTTACAGGAATTGAATAGAAACATTGTTCAAAGGCCTCTCTGTAAAGTTGCCCTGCTCGGTGGAGCGGCCGGGCGCTCCGGGCTGCTACGACCGGCTGGAAAACCTATGGAAAATGGGCCTGGCAGTGTCCTTGCTGGGCAGGAGCCCCAGTGGGGCATTCCAGGAACACCCCTGCTGCAAATAGAGCTCAGCAGAGGCCGTGGGCACTGGGGGCTGGTTTTGTTTCACATTGCATGTGTGGGAGATGAGTAACAAATAAATACTCCTTGAAAAAGGAGTGGGGTTCCCAGCTTTTCCGTCTTCCCCACCCCCCTTCTTCACCCTTCCCTCTCCTTCACCCCATTCCCTTTCTTCCTTTTCCCCCTCTTTATTCCCCTTGCCCCCCTTTTCCTCACTTTTCTCCCTCTTTTTCTCCTTTTCCCCCCATTTTCCCCTCCAGGTGATTGGCTTTTAATATCACTTTTTTCCCCTCATTTTCCTTTTCCTCTTCCTCTAGCTCCTTTGTTTCTTCCCTTCATTTTTTTCTTTTTTTCCCCTTTCCTTTTTTTCCCTTTTCCTTTTTTCTCCTTTTCCTTCTCCAGAAGACCTACCCCAGCATAACTTTTAATATCTCCCTGTCCTTAATTCTGGGATTTCCAGGTGATTGGCTTTTAATATCACTGACTTCTGTTGCGCACCATTTTTAGAGAGGAGCAAATCCAGTATTTCTTACCACCCCCCGTATTCAAAACCCCTTTTTCCCCCATTATAGGAGGGAAGGTGAGAAGGGGCTCCCTTGTCCCCACTGCTGCAGCCACCTCCTTTTCACTTCTTCCCAGTTCTGGGGGCTGCAGTGATGGAGACCTTGATCCAGACCAGCCCCTGGCCCGTGTGAGGTAACATGTGGGTGGCAGCTGGCAGCAGGGCTGGGGGCTGGAGGAGCCTTCCCAGAGCCAGAGGAGCCTTCCTGGAGCCAGAGGATCCTGCCTGGAGCGGGTGGCAGCAGCAGATGATGGGTCTGGGCTCCATCAGCCACGGCCGGCAGGGTGGGATGCGGTAGCTGGACCCCAAGGTGACAATTGACATGAGCTCGGGGCACTGGCAGCACCTTGGGCTGATGAAAGGATGTTGTTAACGAGCCTTCAACGTTTCTCATTAGTGGCTGGCGTGGGTGGGTGGGTTCTTTTCACTGAAAAAAGCCAGAAGACAGAAAGTCCACCTGGGCAGTAATTAAGATCGATCCCATACAGTATGTTATCAATTTTTTAAAACCTCTTAAAGTGCTTTATTTAGTTATTTTAAACAGGGCTTTTTATTTGTTGCAGTGAGTAGTTCTTGAGCATGGCAGAGAACTGAGGAGCCTGGAAGACTCTTCCTGGGCTCTCCTCCTTCTCCAGTCTTCATCTAACCAGCAGAAATGGGGGCTCTGGTCCATCACCACCACCACGGGTGCTGCGAGGAGGCACAGCAGGACATGGAGCCCATTGATCTGGACCCGTGCTGCTGTCACCCAGGATCTGTTTTCTGAGGTGTCATTGCTCTTCTTTGGCTGAAATGATTGCTGCAAACTGCATGAAGGTACCAAGGAGGTAAAAAGCAGAGCCTTTGCTCACTAGTTTGGTGTGGGCTCAACCAGCAGGGAGGCTGGAGCGAGGGGCTCTGCCCAGCCAGGCCCCCGAGAGGCCTCAAGGATGGGGGTCACCCAAGGCAGGCACCAGCCGGGGTTAGGCAGGCTGGAAGAAGTGGTGTTTAATTAAAATAACCCTCAGCACGACCCCAAGTGCAGGGCTGATGGGAGTTAGCTGGGAAAAACAGCTGCAACCCTTTTATCTAAGGAAGAGAACCTTCCGATTACATCATTTTTACATCCCTGTGAACACTGAGAGGATGAAGTTCCACATAGAAAACCTGGCTCAGTTCACAGTGAGCCATCAGAGTGGTTTGGGTCTGAGCCTGCCTGAGCAACACAGCTCAGCTCCCTCTTAAAACCATGGCCAGAATAGGCAGGACACCAGGAGTAGGAGTCCTAAGTGGTTTTTGATCCAGACTTGACTTAAATCTTTAAAACTCTGTCAATCACAAGGAAAAAATAATCACGTTTCTGTTGGTGCCTGCTGTGATGTTTTGAAAAATTTTGAAACTGTACATGGTTCAGTGGTGGATTTGGCAGTGGTGGGTCAATGTTGGACTCAGTGATCTTAAAGGTCTTTCTAGCCCAAATGATTCTGTGATTAACCCCCTGGTAACACCAGGGGAGCAGCTGGTGTGAGTACAGACCTCACTGTGGGAGTGGTGAAAGTGAAGTGTCCACTCCCATGTCAGAAACTTCCCGTGCAGCCACTGAATTCTGTGGAGAGCTGTATTTATTGTGGTCAGTGGGAAGGAAAAGCAAAAATTGAAATGAAACTGGTGTGTTGTTTTTGAAAAGTTCACCAGAGGTGACTGTGGAAATGCAGTTGAGTGCAAGAAGGTGGCACTGGAGTGAAGGTTGA